TAAGTGTATATTAATGGATTTATCCACATTTCTTATTAAAATATAGACTTTAGTTGACATTTCACCAGTTTTTGAGGCTCTAACATCAGTAGAATCTCATGTGTGGTGAGCGTGACATGCCAGAATACCATTTTAAGTTATTTTTGATTATTTTTCATCAAAATTTGCATCATTTTTTGACTTAATTTGGGACAGGTTTTAAATTATTTGGGACCATTTTAAGTTATATTGGACAAGGTTTGATTCAGATTTGGAAAAATTTAGTTTAAAGGTATAAAAACAAAATTGAACAAAATCCAGTTTCAAATTGTTTTGGACACAAAGGAGTTTCCAGATAAACCAAGTGATAATTAATAGAAATTAACCCGTTAAAGCCCCCCAGCCCTTGTAAAAAGACTCCAGTAAGTTTGCAGAGAGGTCGACCCTTCTCTGCTGGGCCTTTATCAACACAGAAGTGGAATTTATAGTCCTCTTCAGGTCCTCACTGATGGAATATAAAACTGGAGACCTTCTTCTATTCTGAGCAGGTGCTCCTCTTGTTGCCGTCTGAAGTCAACGAGGAGCTCCTTTGTCTTTATGATGTTTAGCGACAGGTTGTTCACTGCACACCATCCTGGTAGTTTACACACCTCGCCTCGTTGCGGTTTGAGATAAGTGTTGTCTGCAGGTTTTATGAGGTGCAGTCACATGTACAGCGGGAGCAGAGGGCTGAACACACACCCTGGTGGTTCTACGGTGGTCAGGCTGTTTGGGCCGAGTCTCACCGTCTGTGAGCTGGTGATCCCATTCGGGCTCACTCCCGTCTTTAGCTTCCAGGACTCGTTTTTACTTCCTGTGTCTGCAGGATATGCACCGTTCTTGTCACATACGTTGATCAGCAGGGTTTCAGTACAGCAAAAACACAAATACACCAAATTTTTCTTCTTCTTTTTATGAAGAATGGGTTTACTGAACAGACCACTGCTGTATCCTTTTAAAAGGTCTTCTTCTTTTTTTTTATCTTTTTTTCCTTTTTCCACAGTGAGATTGATGGAAAAAACAAAATGTGAACACTATGTGCAGTAACCCTCCATGAGCTCACTGCACCTCTCGTGCAATATGACGTCATGTATGTGCAGTAACCTCTACATGTGTGATATCAGTACATCACTAGTTCCTTGTGCAGCATTCAGATTTATTTATTATGTTTTTGTATTTTATCTTCTGTTACTCTTGTTTTATTGTATAGTGTTCTATTGCTCACCTGGTTTGACTAGATGTTTTGTTTTTTTTATCTCCAAGAGAGCCCTTCTACAAATTCCAGTGTGTGTGTTTATGCACAAATGGCAAATAAAAATCTTGAAGAAGTCTTTCAATACGGCTGCAACTCGCTTCAATCTGCTAATGAAAAACTCTTAGTTGCTCCCCCTATCAGTCATGAGAACGCCAGCAGATGCACCGGAGAGGTTGTGGACGACTGCAGCTTGTGTCTGTTTCCAAAGGCCTTGCTGCTGAAATGCAGATTAGAAAGAACTTCGTATCGGGACTCGATTACTTTCAGCATCAGTATGGTTGCGTATTTCCTACTATAAAACCACCTGTGGCATTTGTTATGGCTTTATTCTGGTCTGAATCGTTAGCAAAAAGCTGCTTTAACGCCACAGGGAGCTAGCGTCGCTCTTTTCTCTGATGTTCGGGCGATGCCATAGGCGTGGACACATTGGGCCGATAAAGTTGATTCTGACTCTGATTTCTTCCTGGTGCTCAATAATTCAGCCCTTTTGCAGGGAGCTGATGGAAAGTCGAGCATTTTCTTCTTACGGTACAGTGCCCAGTAATCAGATTACAGTTAAGCTACACTGACTGGACCGGTCAGATGAGTTTTCTTTGACTGATTCTAATCAGTTCTTAAAGTCCTTCAGTCAGATTGGTCAGTGATGCAGAACTACTGTCGGGACTACAGTTTTTTTTTTGGTAGTTTTTTTTAGTCCAAGCACAGCGCAACAATTTCTGTAAACACATGAAGCTAATTTGATGCTTATTATCATCTAAAATAAATACAAACAAAAATGCGAGCTACTGATCTCCTGCTCGTTTCCACATTAGCCTGCTTGTTGCAATAGCTAGCTCATAACAGATTAGCTAAATTACACAGACTTAAATGACCTAAAAACTGAAATGATCCTTCAGAACCAGACCTTCATACCGAAGATCAGCCAGTAGTACATAAATATAATTTCAAATATATGATTCTGATTTTTATTTCGATTATTTAAGTAGAACAATACTTCAGCAATTCAGATTCAGTTTCTTCTGGGACTAGTTTCCACCCATAAGGCCGGGCCGACTCATTGACGTGACGACATCACTGAAGGCGACGAAGCCGAGGTTTCAAAACATGGATTTGCTTTGATAGCAATGGGTCATTAAAACACCTCATTCAGAGTGTTGTAGTGTTGTGTTTTAGACAACAACGCCGTGCTTTGAGAGCTCTTAGAAGTGGCCAAACACGACATAAGCTGCTACGATAATCAACATGCAGAACTTGTTAAGGTGGCGTCATCTTCTCGGACATGGATGATAACATTGTGAACGGGATCTGCTGCGTCACGTCTATAAATTAAACACCTAGTGGACAATCTAACATGTCTTATGACGGAATCCCTGAATATCAGAGATGTAGGAGTGCGACAAGATGATTAGTGTTATATCAGAATGTTTTGTCTCACTGTTTGCACTCGTGACATGTGGGACAAAGGTCTTCTCTGATGTTAGAATGTGCTGCTCGTAGATAACACGAGGAAAATGGAATCTAAAAGAGGCGGGAAGGACAACAACAAGAATTACAGGCGATAAAGTTTCCGAGCTGTGAATACAAATGATGTGAGGGGGAGCTCAGCATGAAGGTTCCTCAGCTCAGCAGAAAGTGGAAGTGGTCCAACGGTTGCTGGCCTCGTAGCGTAGGTCGGTCAACGCTATGGGTTTGCTAAATCGTCAGCCTGTTCTTAAACCTCTGGAGCTGCCTCGAGGTCAGCAGTGGATCAAAACTTGCATCACTGTCCTCGTTAACAGCATGTTCACACGCTGCCGATGCTCCTCCCTCGCTAGCAGAAAGCAGCTCGGGTGGAGTGACTCAACTATGAGGAACAATGAGCTAAGTGAAAATGAGCCCAGTGTTGGAGAAACAGAAGCAGTCGTGGGTGCAGATGAGTAAAACTGGTGCCGAACAAAAATGCCTCCACTCCACGACTTCATATGCCACGTGTGTTTCATTTCGTAAGCCACCTTAGGCTTCAGCTTTAATGGTGTAGGAAGACATTTTTGTTAGTCATTACTTCACTACTTTCATTTTTACCTCATTGTATGACAATACTCACAACTTCCCCCCACTGCCTTTATTCCTTAGTGCAAAACAAACTGTTCCGATGTGACAGAATGTTCCTTAAGGTGACTTTTTGCTTCCTTTTTCTTTCCTTTTTGAGTTGTGATTGGTTCCTCCTATTTTACGACAAACTCAGACATACACTTGAGGTTTCCTTGTGTGTGGGCTTTCTATTAATTTATCTCAGCTGTTTTGTTTTTTTCCCCCCCCCACTTGACCTCAATGCAGAACACGCACGACAATTCTTTCCTCGGAGTGTGACGTAAACCAACGATTTAGTGGTGTTGCAGTATATACAGAGGATTAGCGGCACGACTTGCACCACAGGGAGATGCTACAGATGGCCGTCTGTTGTGTAACTGCCTGTGAGTGGATAAGTCTGTGCTTGACATTGATACCAGTAGATCATATGTAGTTATATATTTAATATTAGAACATACGGGGCAGATGTGATGAAATGACAGCTTATAAATTCTCATGTGTTCATATTGGCGTCGTCTGTCTTTTGTCTGGAAAGCTGTCGACACCTTTCAGCTGCGGTATAATTAGTTTTTGCTTGGTCAGATATTAAGGGGTGTTTCTACATGCGTGATTGCTTTCCAGCTAATACGACTGACATCATATTTTCACCTAACAAGTTTAAATATTGAGATTATGACCCTATAGTGTGAGTATTTTAAATGTAAACGGTTAGAACCTCATGCATATTGACCCAGCTAAATTAAATATGATGGCTAAAACCTGACAGTAATATTAATGATAGAGTTTAACCTGAGTAATGATTAAAAATGGGCTGCAAGGTGGCGCAGTTGGTAGCACTGTTGCCTCGCAGCAAGAAGGTCGCCGGTTCGCGTCGCGCCGGAATCTTTCTGCATGGAGTCTCCATGTTCTCCCCGTGCAGCGTGGGTTCTCTCCGGGTTCTCCGGCTTCCTCCCACAGTCCAGAAACATCCATCCATTATCTGTACACCGCTTAATCCTCACTAGGGTCGTGGGGGGCTGGAGTCTATCCCAGCTGACTCAGGGTGAAGGCAGGTTCACCTGGACAGGTAACCAGTCTATCACAGGGCTACACTTAGAGACAGACAACCAAGCACACTCACATTCACACCTACAGACAATTTAGAATCACCAATTAACCTCAACATGTTTCTGGACCCACGCTGCACGGGGAGAACATGCAAACTCCACGCAGAAAGATTCCGGTGCCCCCACCGGGACGCAAACCGTTGCCTTGCTGCGAGGCAACAGTGCTACCAACTGCGCCACCCTGCAGCCAGAAACATGCTGAGGTTAATTGGTGATTCTAAATTGTCCGTAGGTGTGAATGTGAGTGTGCTTGGTTGTCTGTCTCTAAGTGTAGCCCTGTGATAGACTGGTGACCTGTCCAGGTGAACCTGCCTTCACCCTGAGTCAGCTGGGATAGACTCCAGCCCCCCATGACCCTAGTGAGGTTTAAGCGGCGTATAGATAGTGGATCGATGGATGATTAAAAACTGATGAGCAAGCACATCTGCGAGAGCGGAGAGGAACGACTTCCTTGTTAACAGGAAGAGACCTCCGAACACAAACATGATAAGAGTGAATAAGGCAGAAAGGGAGCCGTTTATTCACCCAACTCTTCTTTCTCTGTTGTCCAGGTGAGCAGCCCAAAGAAAACTTCATCTCCGATGTTGACGCCAAACACAGTAAGTACAGAAGAATCTCTTAAATCAGGAAGCTTTTGTGTCGTCAGATGAAGGTTTTGTAAGGCTGGGCTCACGCTACAGGAGTCGAATTCACTACCTATTCACCTCAAATGGGTACGATTTATTATTGAGTTGTCTGGAGAAACGCTAAACATTCTAGCACCGATGTTAGCCACAGATATGGAAACTGATCACACCTTTAGTGGTCCTTGTTGGCTGCATTTATCCAGACATTTTCTCACCCAGACTCATTTAGGCTTTTGTTTTTGTCTCAAGCATTATTAGCAAGTTGTTGCACCAGAGTCTCCATTTTGTTTCCATCTGTTTCCAGAGGTGGTGCACTGCTCTCTGACCGCTCTGTCTAGCACGATAATAACAATACCCTGAAGTGTGTGATGCACTGTTATTTTCCAGTCTTGTAGTTTGTGCATGTGGACATACCTGGTTTCAGAACTTTAAACTCCTGTCGTGTGAACACAGTCTACTTGGAAGTCATTATTTTATGTTTAAGCAGACTTGAAGCAATACTTGACCTGAATTCTTCAGATTGCAAATGTCTGCTGCCTGTAGGTTTGGCGGGGAAAAAAATGCTCTAAAGTTTGCAGTTCCTTCCCAGAGCTGGCAGTAGATTGTAATGGTGCTCCTCAATTACCACCTTTCTCCAGCGTTATCTGCTTCTTCCTTGTGTTCAGTATATATGTTGGCAACACTTGTGGGGCCTTTTAATTAGCAGAGGAAGCTCCTGGAAGCTAATGCTGACGTGTGGTTTTAGTACCTGACTGCTGCTGTTTTTGCTTCTCCATCGGGTGCCATCCCATCAGGCGAAGATGAGCGACAAGGGGCCATCAAGAGGTTCAGTGCCATGTGGTCGTCCCTTCGCAGAGGCAAAAGAGACAGTGAGTATTTTTGAAGAAGCTCCACACTTGGTGATGTTGTGATAAGGACGATGATGTAGAATTCCAACTGCAGCTACCCGTACATACAACCTCTCAACAGCATTAAATAGTGTAGAAATAATTCAGAGGTCAACACGTGATGCATGATGGCTGGTTATGGATTTGCTGCAGCACCAGGCAGTCGCAGTTTGTTTAGTACTCGAAGGAATGTGAGGGAGCGATAAATACAGCAGTAAATGTGCCATATGAGTATGTCTTACCTTTTAAAGCTGGCTGCTCCTGCTGCTGTCAGATCAGCTGACTGAGCATGAAATGGATTCTCACCAATAAATGTTTGATGCAGAAATAGCCGCAGACCTGTAGCTTAACTGTGTTTTCATGATGCGATGAGTACAGAAGGCACAGATAGCGGTGCTAGCAGCGAGAAATGGGTCTCTGGAGTCCCGACAGTAACGTTGATGTTTCGTTAGAGACCCCCACAGTCTACAGCGGCACAAATAAATGGTATATGGGTCATTCCATAGAGAGTCCCAGGTCAACCTCTTAGATTCCTCTGAAAAAATTCACAGGTGCTCCTATGCCAAACCTATGAAGACACCCCAAATGTTAGGTCTCCATCTGTAATAGTTGTGAAATTGCAGCCCTTTGAAACTTTTGTTAATTTTCGGCAAACCAGCCTCTCGGCCCATCTTCCGACATTAATAGCTCGTGCAGTGTGGCACATGGAGCTTTGAAACTGGCCAACTTTGGCTAACTTTTCCTGTAGAATCCAAAAATGTAATCAAATCTGGTGTATTGTCTTTGCTTGTCTTCCTACAAGACTCTAAAAATGGGCAAAAATTCAGTTGTTTAAAAAAAGAAAGACTCCCAGTCACTCATGTGAAAAGTACGATAGATAAAGAATTGTTTTCATTTATGAGGTGTTGGACCATGTTAACACAGTAACCATGAATCTAAGGATTATAGGGGTTTAGGAATCATTTTTGAAATGCACTCGATTTTCAAATTTCATGAATTTGTCCATTTTCATGCCCTGATTTGACCGTGTGGGCACTTCACCATCATTTTCCTATTTTTACCATGTGTTCCTTCAGATCCCAAGATGATCTGAACCAAATATGGTTTTGTTGTTGAGCCTACTTTAGGAGTTTGTTGTTTTTTTTTTAAAAAAAAGAAGAAAGAATTGCCATGTTTTCTTTGAACTATGAATTCAACCAAAACCCAAATATTATGTGAGACACAGTTCCAGAATCGCCTCATCTAGCATTATTTCATCATCAGGAAAAACGACCAGTTCATAATGGAAAGTAAAGGGTAACAACATATTTCAAGCATCTTCTAAAGGTGATTTTATTGCTTTGAAGACAGCAACATCAAAGACTGCTCACCATGTCAAAGACAAATCCTCATTACAGACATAATTTCAATCGCTTTCAGTTACAGATGCTCCCAATCAAAAGTCTTAAAGTAAAAATATATAAATAAAATATAAAGTATTCATATGGAAATAAAATGTAACACAAAAAATAAATATACTTTCTGCTGTTCTATGTACAGTGTGATGATAATAATAATACTGGTAAGAATGACCCATAAGTCGTCCCCCCTGCTGCAGGAAGAGCAGCTGAAGCACTAAACCATAACATCACTATCTATTTGTAGTATTACGGTATGTCCAATATCGGCTTCAGTATTGTTTGCAGTATTTCAGTTTCATGTTTACATCATTGCTTCAATATCAGTGTCTGCATTCCTTCTTACTTTTTCTATGCTAGTTTTAGTTTAACGCACTATTTTTTGTTTTACTTTCACTTTTATATCTCGTCTTGTCTTTGTGGTAGGACCAGCAGGACAAAACACTGAGACACATGGTTACAAACCTGAAAGAGAAAAAAAACAAAACTAGAACTCGTTGCTGGGGGGATTTTATTAGAAACGGAAAGTGAAGGAAAGCAGCAGAGCACATATGAGCAGGTTGGCTTTGGCAGACGGTCAACGAGAGACATTTCAGAGTTAACAGAAGCAGCGCTTGAACGTAAACAAGCCCGGTGGACTGTGAGACAGCTGCTTATTCTACACGGCTCAACAAGAAGCAGCGAGGGGCGGGATGGTACAGCAGCAGTCTGGACTGTTAGAGAAGACTTTATAAGACTCTTTAACCTCCTCAAGCACACGGAGCGCTGCTTTCATTCCCCGACACACCGACCAATAGCCGTGGGTTCGACCGGTTCCGTCTACCCGGCCATGCCACCATCATGCTGATTGATCCCACAGTGACTGATGTTCTGCCGATCCTAGACACAATCACAATGGTTTCACCCCACATTCTGGTACACCTGCTACTTGGCTCGGACCATTGACAGACAGGAACATATCTCTTGTTTTCCTGTACAGTCAAAATGTTTTGAAACTTTAGCTTTAAATGTGCGTATTGGGCACCCCAGTAGCTCAGCGGGTTAAGCAGGTGACCCATGTATTGGGGCTAAAGTCTGCGATGCAGTGGCAGCGGATCGAGTCCGACCCATGGTGTGTCTCTTTTCAACTAACCTCTGCAATAAAGGCAAAAAAAACCCATTTAAATGTGCATATACGTGGCGGTACTGCTTTTGTATTGGGTAAAATACACTCGTTTATAATCGGGGCACCACTGAGTATAATTTGGAAATTGATTACTAATACTTCAGATTGAATGTTAATACTTTCTCTCATAATCAAAAATCGTGAACTCTGATTTCATTGACCTCCAGCTTCCAAATAAAGAAATATGCAGCGGAACCGACGATGATTATGCACAAACATTTATTAGCTACAAACAGCAATGATATAACAGGCAATGAATAAAAGAATACAGGCAAAAAAACTAATCAATGATGATCGTCGCTGGAAGCAGCTGGTAGAGCGGCGATCAATTTACCAGAGAAGCCAGTTATGATATTAAAATTCACCCATTTAGCAGAAGGAAAGCAATACTTGCACATTGAGGGAGACAGATGACTATAATAGTGCAGAGGCAGGAAGAACCTTTGCATAGCTGCGTTCAGAAGTGGGTTTAAAGGGGTAGTTACAAAGAAAACATTTACCCCCACAATTTAGTGGAAGAGGCCCAAACTTTAAGTAAAACATAGAAGAAGAAACCTGTGGAAAAATAGAGGATAAGAACCCCTCAAAAGCCAACATGAAAGAAGAAAGAGCCTTCATTCCTTTCCAGTGGTGACTTTATTTTATACTGAAAGTTCTTTGGAGCCAAATCCAAATGGACGCGTCCATCCCAGGGCTGGTCGTGAGCCTCACTGTTCATGAGAAATCAGAAGCCAAACGCCTTGTAGAGTTTATTTGGAGTAATTTTTTTAAATGTGCAAATCCAATAGTTTGATATCTACAGTGAAAACTGGTGGTAACTAACAACACTCATCACTGTGAGCTGTATGATGAGGTTGGATGATCGTCACTCTCTGTAAGGCGTGATAGACGTTAGGTTGTATTTATTCCTTCAGCTCTTACCTCATGACTCTGTTTTAATGTGCAGCTGCTTTTACTGAGCTTGGATAAAACAGTTTTATTCACTGTGCACCTGCAGCCTGAAACAACCTTCAAAAAAAATCTTAAGCATACATAAAGTACAGGTTTATTGTTGGACGGTGAATTTCTAGAGCTGCCGACTGTTATGTTTGTCTACCTGTGTTTGTCTACAGATTAAACTAACGAGATACGGCTCGTTTATCAGTGTTGGTGGTGGGTGTGCTTCTTGAACTTTGGTCAGAGTGCTGCTGCTTTCAGTCTTTAGGCCAAGCTAGGCTAAGTAAATAGGCTATCTACATGCTTAGTGCAGATCTCTGCTTAGAGAGTGGTGCGCCAGTGCATGCCCTAATGGAGGATATTCGTACAATCTGAATTCAAATGGGAGAGGCTTTAGTTACCTCTCCTGCCACCTCAACAGGCACTGTGGGACCAAGTGCTACTCTGATGAGGCTAATGTCAACCCATCCATGTGTAACTGTACACTAAAGCTCGATGTATTTGTGTATTTCTGTGTAGAAGCCAAAGACCCCGAGCATACAGAGCAACAGAGCCCATTGGCGGAAGACAACACGTCCCGGCAGCACCGCTACGTCAGCGGTCAGTACTTCTTTGAATATCTGGTAGTGGTCAGCCTCAAGAAAACCAAGGACAGCAACAACTATGAACCTCAGATCACTTACCAGTTCCCCAAGGTCAGTGTCATGGTGAAACCCAAACGTACATGTATGCAGAGTGAGACTTGTTACGGTTATTATCATCCTGCAAAGCCAATGAGGTGTTTGTTGTTGGTTTTTATATTACTCTCGGCTACATGGGGCAGTGGAGCTTTAGTGTTTGGGACTAAACCGCGTTTTGTTTTTTGTTTTTTAATTGAAAACGTAGCTAAAATATAATCAGCACTCACTTTACTGAAGTTTCAGGCTGGAAATCTGAAGGATAATTGCTGTTAGTGCAGCGTTACTGAGTCTGCTGATCATGATGTGTGCGTTTTATTTTCTGCTGATGTGTTATAATTTATGTGAAATGGTTCAAGTTCTCTGTATAGGAAGAAGCTCTAGAATATTCAAAGCTGTAAAAGCATTGTTAGAAACGGTCTTTTGTGGAGTTTGAACTGGTTTTACCGCAATGACCCTTCTTCCTCACTGATGTTTGTGTTCTAGTTTTGTACCGTTCCATGATGGGAATTTATATATTAACACATGGGCTAAATCGGGTATTACCCAGTCTTTATAGTAGGAAGCCGTCTACTGATTCGGACGTTTGTGTTCTTACGTGCAGCTCCTTTTACTTTCAGAGAGATGGAATGGCGAGATTCCAGAAGGAGGAAGAGGAAAAGACGCTGAAGGCGATCACCCTCTTCTGTTTCCCGGAGGGCATCAACTGGGCTCCTCTGACAGAATACCACAGGTAAAGCAGAAACTTTTTCACCAGTGCTTGATGTTCAGTTTATCGTACATCAGTCTGCGTCACATGTTCCTTTTGTCGGTCTCCAGTGAGACCTTCTCCTTCGTTCTGACCGAGATCGACGGCAGCAGAAGAAACGGGTACTGCAGGAGATTACTGGTCAGTGCGTCGACTCAAAAGCATCCAGCCGTTTAGAGAATCTATGTTTTGATGCTAATTAAAATAATGTTTCCTGTCCTCAGCCTGGAGGGAAAGGAGCTCGACCGCCTGAAGCCTACTGTATCATCAGCTCGGTGGCTTGTTTCGGCCTCTTCTCCAAGGTGACTCTTGTGTTTTTTGTTTAGTGAAGTCTGTGATGAAGCTGCTGTTCTGTTGCTTGGCGAACAAAACTTGATGCATTGGTGTTGAGCTCACTCTTGGCTCTGCCACATTCAGCTGTGGAAGCAGCCGAGTGTTTTACAGCTCCCTGCACTGCCTCCTTAGAAACCAACGGTCTCATCACGATCCTGAGGGAGCCCCTCTGTCCTGACACTACATTTACACATCGACGGGTATTTACAAAAACAGAAAAACAACATTGTTCACACCAAGTCTTAGTTTACACAAACCCACATAAACACGTCGTTAAGAGCTGCTATGAGCTGCCAAACCTGTAGGGGGCAGTGTAACGAGAAGCATACGGCCATGCCAGCCAATCAGAATCCTGGAAAAACACAACGAATAGCATGAATTACTTCCTGTTACTTGAACTATAATGACGCGAGGGTCGTTTGAATGAAAATGCAAACAGGCCAAAAACATTGCACAAACGTAAAAACAAGCACTTTCTGCTTTAACAGCATCCATTTCTATCACAGTAGCCAAAGTGTAAACATGGTCGCACACATATGACGCTGATGATGCTTTTGTCGCTCACTGTGACGTCAAACTCCGCCTCCTCCGGTCTACATGCAAAGATGGAGTTTTTCCAAATCCCCCACTTTGGCTGGAGTTTTCAGATTTGATTGTTTTTCGGTGACTTGTAGCTTCGTTTACGTGTAAACCAAAGGCCCATTGAATTATCACCGTTGTTGCTACGTGTAAACGGGGTCTCAGTCATTGTGGTTCTGATGCCACGGTTTTCCATCACAATGCTCCTTAGTGAGCAACGTTCTGTGGAAACTTAAAGCACAGCCGTATGTCTAACAGGTTAACAATCAGTGCAGGTTAAATACGCCCCTAAAGAATAGATCCAAGTGTGTGTCATCTGAAGGAGTTAACATAGTGACTGGCACTAATCTGATAAGTGTGGTTGCTGCCACGGCAACAACCAACAATTGATTAAGCACAGTAAATATTTTCTCATATGCTGATGAAACCATTTTGAGTCGTTCACCACTAAATTGGCACATTAGAAATTTAAAGAAGACATAAACACCAGTTACTGTCAGACACTGTCTTCCACGGTATATATAATGTTGTTAATCTCTTCAACATGATGATGGAGTGACTTGTTTGCCGTAGTTAACGTTGACAGGTGGTCGGCAGGTACAGATGTCCACAAATACTGTCACAGCAGCTTTATCGGTTCAGGACGTCCGGTGGTGTTTACTGCCACCCACATGTATCCCCCGTCTTCTGCCGCATCCGCAAATATATATTTAATCAACAAAATTAATGTATTAACAATGAATCATTACTGTCCCCACTTGAAGTAGAGCAGTTTTTTTTCTTTATTTTGCATGTTATAACTTATTAATCCTCAAACATCCCACGTATTTCCAGGTTTATGTTTTGTTTTAAACCAGGTTTGTTTCACAGCTTGGCTAAGAGTCTTAAAACTTCATTTTTTTTCTTACTAATCTCTCTGTGGAGTAAATGTGTCCAGAGCATTTACTTATTTATTTTTTTCCTGTTGATTACTAATCAGGAAGCACGCTTGAGTCATTTGGCGACACGATTTTGCTGTGAGTCAATGATTGTCTTAATTATTGCCATGTAGGAAATCCTGTCTTGGGAGTTTTTGTTGGGAATTTGGGTGTTTTAGGCACTTAAATGATGTTTACCAGATTCTACACTCTCTCTGACAGACAGTGAACAGCGCTAGGCAGCTTCTAGCTTCGTTAGATTTTTACTAAAGATGTCAACAAATCCTGGCAGTGTGAAATCGGATATTATAAAGCTAAATATACAAACAGTGTAATTAATCTGCTGTAAACAAGCCGTACTTTGAATGACTGGAGCAGCCCTCTGTACAGCAGATGTCACTACAGTCAGCGTGCTGCTTAATTCTACGTCTTTTCTTCATCCTAAAAACTAGACTTCAACCAATTCAGAGGGATGCTCAGATAATAGTAGTAATAGTTTAAATTGCTATAATTATGCCTCAGTGTTGGCATTTAAAAAAAAAAAAAGGTTTGATCCAGCAAAGCTCATCCAGAATGACTGTAAGACTGCAACAAGTGTCCAGAAATGAAGGTTTTTATTTTGCAAGTCAATCATTTTTCAGTGAGACATTTCCCTTTTCTCACGCAGATGGATTCACTTTCTATCAGTGCAGGAACAGAGTCATGTCCTACTCATTACTGCTGACTTAAGCGTTGTTTGCTTTCACTTTTTTTTTGGGTTAGTATGACACGATTCTGTTGTCCTACTGGTGGAACTAGTTACTATGCTCGTAGTTGTGTTCCTTTAAGCCCCGGGGTAACGGTAATGCCGCCATGTTATGACTATGTGTTGTCCCATCTGTGCAGATATTCGACGAGGTCGAGAAGCGCCGGCAGATCTCCATGGCGATGATCTACCCATTCATGCAGAAGCTGAGAGAGGCTCCATTCCCAGCTCCGGGGAACACAGTGGAGATTAAGAGCTTTATTCCTGAGTCGGGCACTGAGGTCAGAGGAACACCCCTCCTGTACTGTTGGTAGCATATCACTTGTAGTTCGATGATATGGATGTAAAAAAAAAAAAAAACAAATCGGTCATTTCTTGTCTTCTTACAATTATTTGATGAGTGTCTTAAAAAGTTGTTAGATGGTATTGAGCCTTTAAATTTAAGAGGTTGGGTTTTGATCTCTAAAGTAAAAGTCACGAATGAATATGTAATTGGAGTTATCTGTAATACGATGCCCTGAAATGGCTGCAAGCAATAGGATTTTAACATATAAACTAATGCATGGCTGCCGACGACGTAAGATGGTGCTGGAAAAACACCAGTTAAGGGTCTTTAGGTCATAAGGAATTATGGTTATATACTGTTGTATACATAATATCCTCAGAAAAATAAATATATGTTCTTCCACAGTCCTAAAAATATAGACCCACAGTACAACATAGATTTCCTTTAAAGCTTGTTTGTGTACACTACAGACTGTGTAATACTGTCAGAGGTTTGCCCAAACTGATGGGTGAAGGAGGGATTTCCTTCTACAGTAACCCGGAGAACGTCCCACATCTACCACTTTGCTGTAATTCCAGCCAAGTGACGATTAGGACACGCGAAACAAGAGTTAAACATTTAGCACACAAACTGAAAGTCAGACTTGTAAACAGGGCAACCTTATAGTTAAACCCCAAAGAGCTGCTAAACATGTAAGCAGAAGCAGTTGTGTCATTACTGCGTGAGTGACTTTGTAGGAGATCCTCCAGGTGGGTGTGTTTGTTTGGAGCTGTGTCTCAACCTGTCCTGCATTACCGAACCTGTACCTCATAGCAGACACGCAACACCTCTCCCAGCAGGACACATACCGGCGTTTAACCAGCTGAGCACTGATGCCGACTCGCCCTCAGGGTAAATGAAGGACAAAGACGAGGTTCTCTGGCTTTGTAAAGACTCATGATTCTAAACGTGTGCGATAATGCAAAGTGGAAGAAATTAATCATAAAAACGCTAAAACTAACCTGCGTCTCATCCACGTCAGAGCTCTGAAAAGTCAGACAGGGGTGTAAAAAGCGTTGAAAGTCGACGTCGTGCCAGTTGTGTGACGTTTGTTGGCGTATTTGTGACAGTGGTGACTTTCCACCAGATCATCAGTCTGACCCGGCCGCTGGATTCCTGGCTGGAACACGTCAACTTCGCCACGCTCTTCGGCTGCCTGACGGACGAAGAGGTGCTGCTGGTGTTTGCGGCTGCCGTCCTGGAGAGACGGATCGTTTTCCTCGCAGATGAACTGGGGTGGGTCACTCACCTTTACACACCTAGAAACGACACTCTCGGGTTTATTCATGCCAACCTGCTCCTGCAGAATGTGAGCTGGAGCAGGTTTTGTGTTCTTAACCGGATGCTGATGTGTCTCATTGTTGCTGTACAGAGCTGATGTGTGGTGACGTTTTCAGACCAAATCACATTCAGTTTAAAGGACCAACAGTTGATTGAATAGAAGTCTTGACACGTCTGTTTGTGTCATTTGTGTCGTTTAACTTCTGTGATGCTCATTTACATGTTCACCAATGACTTTGTAACACATTCCCTTTGTTTCTCAGGAACTTTGGCTATAAATGGTAAAATATTTTATACCGCAGGCTCCTGATTCGTCTAATAAACTAAATTGTAAAAACACAAAACAGGTTTTTTGATCGTGAGGACACTGTTGTTGAGTTTTAGACTGTTGGTCAGATGATGCCGTTTTCTGACTCAGTTACGCTGAAAACTAATCATGCAATATAAACAAGATAAAATAGCTTCAACTAATACACCAGCAAAGTGAGGCTTTTATACTGGGAAAATTTTAACTTCCTGTCTGACGTCTCCAGGCAGGAAGTTGAGATGAACAGCGACACTAACGAGGATGTCAGGCAGTGCTCAACATTTAACTCCTGAACCATGAAATAATTGCCAGAAAATTCAAATTATTTTGAAACTGGAGTATTTATTGAACCTTCTGCAATCGACCAATTTGCATATATGAGTTTTAATTTATATAATTTTTGCTACATTTGGCATTTTTGGTGCGTGAATTACCGATCTGTAGTGGATTATCGGTGCACTGCATGTGTCTGATTGTATACATCAGGATTTTAATGAAAAAAACAACATAACAGACTGATGATGTCGAGGTCTCGGAAACTCACGTATCAAATGTGATACACTTGGCGTTTAAAGGGTTAAGAAGTCAGTGTTTTTCATCATGATAAAATCCTGGCAGACTAAAAAAACCAAAGAGATTTTACAGTACGTAAACAGAACTTAGCTCATTTGATAGCAAGGATGGCAGAAATGGTTTTAGCTGCAATCGAGTTGTTTCTGTGTTCAGTGTGAGAATGTTTTGTCTGAGACGGGAATACAGACCGGGCGAGACCTTGCTGTGGAAAACATCAGCCAAGGCAATAAAATCATAAAATTGAGAATCAATTTTCCGCTTCTGAAGCCCATTATGTTTAAAAATGTCCCATTTGGTCCAGAGAGAGTAGAAATAATGAATAAAAACAAAGGCTCAGCACTTGTAGTCATCACAGGAGTGTAACCGTCTGTTTGTTTAGAATCAGTCCTGATGTCCGCTTTTGTCTTTCTGCAGCACGTTATCTCAAGTCATCCATGCAGTGGCAGCCCTCCTTTACCCCTTCACCTGGCAGCACACCTTCATCTCCATTGTTCCAGAAATCCTCATTGATGTGGTGATGGCGCCCACCCCCTACCTGCTGGGGGTCCAGAAACACCTGCTGGACATGGTCACTGACCAGAGCGATGTGAGTTGCGAAGACAGAAGCATTACCAGCTTGTGTAGAAGCAGGGTTTCTGTACTTAAATGTCTTTACTAGTGACGGAGTGACGTCCTTACTCTGCCCTTTTCTTTGTCTGACACAGCTGCTGGTGGTCGATTTGTCTGAGGATAAAAAGGAGACGTTCATTGTTGCAGTAAGGGCTGCAGCAGCAAAAATCTTTTGCTTATAATCTTGACATTTAAAGAAAACAACCCACAAGTGAAGCATTTGTGTAGAACTGTGACCTGTTTCATTCCAGATTGGCGACGAAGGCTCTATTTTGCCCCCGAAGCTCCAGACTGAAATACTAGAGGCTCTTAAAAACAGGCAAAAAGCATCAAGTGAGTGAACCAAAATCAAACACGTGTGTCAGTGTGGAGCATTGATAAAGAGTTCAACCGCCCACACATGCTCTCTGTTCCGTCGTTCCAGCGGGGGAGGAGCTGAACCGGGTGGTGTCGGAAGCCTTCCTGCACTTCTTTGTGAAAACGGTCGGCCATTACTCCTCGTACGTAAAATACGGCGGAGATCGGGGCGTCTTCGAGAAGAGAAGTTTCTACAAGGCCATCGAGTCCAAGACCACTCGACACTTTGTCAAGAAGTTCATCCAGACGCAGATGTTTGACCTGTTCATCCAGGAGGTGGAGCAGCAGCAGCCTGGACCACAGCAAGGTGAGAACCACGCTGGGGGACAAATTCATGTTGCACAATCCCATCAGTGTCAAACAAGAACAACCAGCGTGCTCTTGGTCGCTGACCTGGTGCCTCCTCCGGTCGTGGAGGCTGCAGGCTCCTCCACTGAGGTAGTCGTAGATCCTCGACAAGGAGACTGACTCGTGCTGGCTGTTGACTGACAGAATGTGATGTTTTCTGCTCTGATCCAGTCTGAGCTCCATGCCGGAGTCACATACGGGCACAAACATTAGTGTTCAGTGTCATGCAGAATCCTGACTCACTACAGTTCATGTTTACAACTTTGCCGCACTCCTTGCATGCACAGCAGGAACAGTCCCTGAACTTTTTGGGACCATGTTGGTCTCTATTGTTGAGACACGACAAGAAGTCTCCCCAACACCAGGTCGAACTGAAAGAACTCTTCTAAAGATCATGTTCTAAAAACTCTCAACTGAGGCACCACATCAGCTTTAGTCACAGTGGTACTAAGAGGCCCAGAGCTCTTCTTTG